TTGCTCAAGGCTCCCAGAAGGGCTCCACGGCTGATGAGGGGCGTGGGTTCAAATCCGAGTCTCCAGAGTCATAATCTGGAGCTCAAACCCACAACGCCAAGGCGGGTCGACCCAGTGGTAGCGTGGGCTGTTTTAGCAACCAACAGCCCACGCTACCATTCAGTGACACCCCACGGGTATCAATAGCATCCAAACGCCAGGATTTCCTCCCTTCCAGTGAGACATCCCTGACTTTTTCCTTTCCCAAATTGTTGGTAGGTGCACATTCTCGTCCCAGGTGTGCAGGAACACCTCAGCAAGCAAGAGTCCAAAAGTGGCAGGCTAAAACCCGGAACCTCAATCAGTGGCTGATACTGGATGAGAAACCTCCTTCTGGGCAGATAGAAGACTGGGTGACCTGGAAGGGACTGAACAGACTGTAACCTTAAAAAATGGGGCCACAAAGTGGAATCCATGACATGTGAGTGTGGAGAAGAGCAAACCTACTGCAATGCAACCTGAGCCCTGCCACATACACAATGGAGGACTTTCTTACAGCAAGACCAGAGATACTCCAAGTGGTCAGCTACTGGTCAAAGAGCATTTAGTAAAATGTCACATATTTTAAACTTTGTGTGTGTGTTTTTAAATACATTACAATTGTACCCCCAGTTCTCTTCTGATGCAATAAATAAAAAATATTTATCAGCGGTCTACTAAATTCCCTTTTACATTATGATAGAAACAGAACAACCCCGCTCCTCTCAAAATAAGAGAGACGACAACGATGGTGAGGACATCATCAAGGAATACCTTCAGCTCTAAATCAAGGACCAGTCCACAATTAGCAGATTCTTAAATGTTCAGCAGCAGAAATATCTTAGTGTCTGGGACTCATTATCAGTTGAGGTGGGAACATCTGACTTGCGTGACAAAGAGTTGGGAGTTGGTCGTCCTGTGACAGCAACCATCAAGTTGGCAGAAATGTATCCAATTGTCTGGTGATTATGTGGAAAAGTGAATAGTGGTAGTTAAACAGCAGGTTTTAAGGATTATTTCTGCCTTTGATTTATTAAAATACTAACCTTTCCCTGCCACGCGTTTCTGTGGCCCAGTCTGGTGATCTGGAAAATAAAGTAACGAGAAAGTGTTGGTTACTAATATATGTGATTTCTTTATGCTTGTGGGTAAACAGTATTTTTTGTTGTTTCTTTGTCAGTGTTGATGTGGAGATTTTCTAGTTTGCCTACTCTGGGATACGTAACATATAATTGTCCTTCTTTAGGGGTACCTTTCAAATCTATGATACTATATGTATGTGTGTGTGAATCATATCTATCTATCTATCTATCTATGTATCTATCTGTATCTATGGCTGGATGACTCTTTGTCAGGAGGGCTTTGATTACGTTTTCTTGCCCTGGTGAAGGGAATTAGACTGCATGGCCTTAAGTATTTTCTGTTGGTCATGGGGGTTCTGTGTGGGAAGTTTGCCCCAATTCTGTCGTTGGTGGGGTTCAGAATGCTCTTTGATTGTAGGTGAACTATAAATCCCAGTAACTACAAATCCCAAATGTCAAGATCTATTTCCGCCAAACTCCATCTGTGTTCATATTTGGGCATATGGGATATTTGTGCCAATTTGGTCCAGATCCATCATTGTTTGAGTCCACAGTGCTCGCTGGATGTAGGTGAACTACAACTCCCAAACTCAAGGTCAATGCCCACCAAACCCTTCTAGTGTTTTCTGTTGGTCATGGGAGTCCTGTATGCCACATTTGGTTCAATTCCATCACTGGTTGAGCTCAGAATGCTATTTGATTGTAGGTGAACTATAAACTCCAACAACTACAACTCCCAAATGACAAAATCATTTTTTCTGGCGTGATGATCACTCCTTGGGTTGTTAGGTGTATGCTGTCCAAATTTGGTGTCAATTCGTCCAATGGTTTTTGAGTTATGTTAATCCCACAAACGAACGTTACATTTTTATTTAGATAGATTCCCATCCAAACCCAGTATTAATCCTGGCAGTATAATCCTATGCTCGTTTACTCAGAATGAGTCCCGCTAAATCCGACCGAATTTACTATTAGATTTCTAAAACGGAGGATTGCGGATGGATCATTCCCCTCCATGTTCCTGTTTTGAAAACAGCGGTCGCCAATCCACCACAGAAGAGTTTTCGGATTCCTTCTGCGGATAATCTCGATCAGCCCCTTGTGGTTCCGCCTTCGCCTTGGGACAAACCGAGCTGGAGTCCGGAGGCTTGAGACGAGGGGCCAAGTCAAACCCAGGACACGCGTCTAAAGCAGGCCTGGGCCAACTTGGGCCTTCCAGGTGTGTGAGACTTCAACTCCCACCATTCCTCACAGCCTCAGGCCCCTTCCTTTTCCCCCTCAGCCGTTTAAGCGGGAAAGGAAAGGAAGGGGCCTGAGGCTGTGAGGAATGGTGGGAGTTGAAGTCTCACACACCTGGAAGGCCCAAGTTGGCCCAAGCATCTTCTACAGGTATTGCAATATTGTCACCAAGTGCAAAGAGGTCTTTGCGGGCAGCACGGTGCAGGTTTATATGCCTGAAATTAATAAAAGGGTTTGATGTGTCAGTGTGTGGATATACTTTTATTTGATGCGTTTCAATTACTGTTGTCTTATTATTGCCCTCGTGTTAGAAAGCAGGATACACATCTCGTAAATCATCCAAAAAATCTAATTTGCAAGAGAAAGGAGGAAGAGGGTGAACATTAAGGGGTGGGGTTGCCTTACAGATTGATTTCTATAATATTGTTTTGGACCCAGACACGAAATCCGGACACATCTTGGAAACTAAAGCAGTCTGCTCTTGCAGTACTTGGAACACGAAGAGCTGCAAGGCTAGATTTCAAAGGAGAGAACCGGCAAAACTACCTCTGAAAATATAATAATAATAATAATAATAATAATAATAATAATAATAATAATATATTCGAATCTGGGTTCGAGTCTGGGGAGAGCGGGTTGAGCTCCCTCTGTCAGCGCTAGCTTTCCATGCGGGGACATGAGAGAAGCCTCCCACAATGATGGTAAAGCATCAAACATCCGGGCATCCCCTGGGCAACATCCTTGCAGATGGCCAATTCTCTCACACCAGAAGCGCTTTACAGTTTCGCAAGTTGCTCTTGACACAGGGGGAAAAAACCAATACTGACTACATTTGTTTCCTCTTCAAAAAGATTTTAAAATCAATATTAACGATGATGATGATGATGATGTCGGTGTTGCAATCCCAAGCGACAGCAGGATTGGCGGGAAGCAACTGGAAAAGCTGACATGATATGAGGATTTAAAGATCGAACTGCAAAGACTCCAGCACAAGGCAGTAAAGGTGATCCCAATGGTGATTGGCACACTGGGTGCAGTGACTAAAGACTTTGGCCTGCACTTAAATACAATCGGCGCTGACAAAATTACCAACTGTCAATTGCAAAAAGGCCACCCTACTGGGATCTGCCAGCATAGTGATTTTGTTTTATGTGTACTAATCTTGTTATGTAACTAATAATAATAATAATAATAATAATAATAATAATAATAATAATAATAATAATAAACAATAATAACATCAATAATATTAATGTTATTAATATCTATTATTAGATGATGATAATAATAACAGCCAGCAGAGTGATCTTGTCTGCTGTAGACTCATCTTGTTGTGTTTCAAATAATAATAATAATAATAATAATAATAATAATAATAAACAACTTTATTTATAGACTGCCCTCTCTCCCCAAGGGGACTCAGGCTGCTTTCCTAAGAAAGCATTGGGAAATGCATAGGGATGAGAAAAGACGCAGGAGACTTAAGACACGCACATTTTGAACGCCACTGATACTCATTGCGTTTAAACCAGAAGCACAGCAAACACACACACACACACCTCACTGAACCTTTTCTTTCCCCTGCCCTTTCTTCCGCCTCACCTTGTGATCTCCCAGACACCACTTTCTATCCCGGGTAAGAATGACTTTAATTTACACAAAAGATAAGACATAGAGTGCCACAAAACCCAGCCCTACGCCTTCCGCTGTGCTTCATGTACATTAGACTCCACATTCTCGCAACCGAGGAAGAGGAATCAGGAGGAAAAGGAGGCTTAGAAGAGCCTGAAATCAAACCACACCACACCACTGAATGAATCCACTTTAATTCCAGTTTCTGCCTCCTGCAGAATTCTGGAGTGTATAGTCTATTGAGGCTGTGAAAGCCTTCTCCCTAAACTACAAACCCCACAATTCTGCAGGATGCAGAAACCGGATTTAAAGTGGGATCATTCTCTCGTGTGATGAGGTCAGGATACAAATCCAATGACTCAACCATGTTTTAGGAAGGATACCTGTGAAAAAGAGGAGAACAGCTCCTGTATGTGTGTGAGAGAGAGAAAAAGCGAGAGAAAGAAGGAGGGAGAAGTGAAAGGAGGATGTGTCAAGGAGGCTGGGTTCCTCGGTGTGAACCAGGTAACTCGTGGCGTGGTGGCGTCCTTGAATAGCTCCAGAAGGGAAGGGAGGAGGAAGAAGAAGAAGAGAGGAGGAAGACACGGAAGTGGAGGAGGAGGGAAAGGGAGAGCCGGCGAGGCCTCTCCAGGGCTCGTCCTGTCTCCTGGGGGGCTGCCCTTGGCTAATGAAGGGCCCTACCCCCTTCTGCTGGAGGGACAGGCCCAGGAGACGACTTCCTTGCTGCCCATCTACTCCCCACCGCCTCCCTCCGAAATAAAGAGCAACGAGGGTGTCCGGAGAGGGTCGCTTCCCAATCCGGATCGGCCCCCACCTGGCTGGGGGTGGGGGAGAGAGAAAGAGAGAGAGGAAGTGGGGGAAAGGAGAGTGTGGGGGCCCGGCCAGGTCGAGGGGCGGCGGGGCTTGCTTTGGGCGCTCCTTGCCCTGGTCTGGAATCCTTCGCCCGCCTTTTCCCGCCCCCCTCCCCTCCCCCTCCAGCCCGTTCTTCACTCAACCCCCCCCCCCCCCCGCCCGCAGTTCTCCGTCCAGGGCCAGCTCTATAATAGGCTCCGGTCTGGAGCAGCCCCGGGGCGGAGAGAGGAAGCGCGCAAAGAGGAGGAGGAGGAGGAGAAGGAGAAGGAAGAGGCAGCCAAGGAGGGCGACACGGAGGCCGCGCCTTTCAGGAGCCGGGGTTTCTTCTCCGAGAGAGTGCGAGGGCCCCACGCAGCGGAGGAAGAAGCGAGGCCGCTGCCGCCGGGATGTTGCTCTCGGCCTGGCCTCGGCCTCCCACCCGCTTCCAGACCCAGGCCGCTCCAGGCCTCCGGATCCGCTGAGATTTGGGGGGCAGCCGCCATCGCGGGCGCCGCCATTCCGTGGGGGGCGCCCTGGGCCAGGGAGGGCTGGGCTGGTGGGGGGCCCGGCGCCATGCAGCACCCCTTGGACCTCGGCGCCGCCGCCCACTACTTCCCCGCCCCCGCCGCAGACCCCTTCGCCGCCGCCGACCCCCGCCCGCACCGTTATCGCAGCTTCATGATCGAGGAGATCCTCACCGACCACGCCGCCGCCAAGGCCTCCTCGGCCCCCGTCGCCGCCGGAGAGCTGCTCAAGTTCGGGGTCAAGGCGCTGCTCTCGGCCCGGCCCTATCACAGCCCCCTCGGTATGTACCCTCTCTCCCCCGCGCGCCCCCGGCCCAAGGCACCCCCAAGAGCCCCACAAATCTCTCAAAACCCTGGCGGGAAGCCGCTCTTCATCCTCGCCCTTACTACCAAGTGGCTTGGCTCTTCTTCTTGTTGTTGTTGTTGATGATGACGATGACGATGATGATGATGATGGGAAGTTGAAGGACAACCAACTTCTTTCCCTTCCCTTCCCTTCTTTTCCTTTTCTTACCCTTCTTCCTTTCCCTCACCTTTCATTCCCGTCTTCTTTTCCTTTTCCTACTCTTCTTCCTTTCCCTTCCCTTCTTCCCTTCCCCTTTCCCTTCCCTTCTTCCTTTCGTTTCCCTACCCTTCTTCCATTCCCTCCCTCCCCTTTCTTCCTTTCCCTTCCTTCTTCCTTTTCTCTCTTCTTCCTTTCCCTTCTTCTTCCCTTCCCTTTTCCTCCCTTCCCTCTTCCTTTCTTTCCTTCTTCTTCTTCCCTCCCTTCCTTCTTCCTTTCTCTTCCCTTCTTCCTTCCCTTTCCCTTCCCTTCCTTCTTCCTTTCCTTATTCTTCCTTCTTTTTCCCCCTTCTTCCCTTCCCTCCCCTTCTTCATTTCCCTTCCTTTCTTCTCTTCTTCCCTCCTCTTCCCTGGAACCGGAGGGACTGGCTTCAGAACTGAGATTCCCGGATCTGTCCAAGGGCCTCTCCCACAATTTATTTATTTCACCAAGGAATTCCTCCCGTGCTTATACCTGTAAGACTCAAGACCCAGAGGTTACAAAGAAAGGCACGACTGTAAATGTATTTCGCAGAGTGTGGTGGAGGCTCCTTCTTTGGAGCCTTTTAAACAGAGGCTGGATGGCCATCTGTCAGGGGTGCTTTGAATGTGATTTCCTGCTTCTTGGCAGGGGGTTGGATTGAGTGGCCCATGAGGTCTCTTCCAACTCAACGATTCTTTGATTCCATTGCTGACTTCACAGGACTCTGCGCCTTAGCAAACAATTTCGGTTCAATCGCACAGCCGCCTCGCCGATTTTGTTGCCTTCTGGAGGACTCCCTCCGTCCCTTTTTCAATCAGGGCCTTGAATATTCAAAAAGCAACCCAAAACGATGTAGTCTAGTAAATCCACTACTCTAAAAGGATCGACACCAAATTAAATCTCAAATAATATAGACAGTTCAGAACAAAACGGACCTGATAGAATAAATTCTTGCAGTGTGTATGTATTCTGCAGTCCTAAACGAAGAATCCAGACCCGCCATGCATTCAACCCAAAGTCTTCAGCAAGGCCAGAATTGCATATCATCCACTAAGGAACCAAGAGAGCCGAAATTACCATATGAGCACAAAATCCCAGAGCCCTGCTGACATCGTATCTTTGCCTTGCAATTAAATAAACCTTTGGGGCAAATAACTCGGAGTTTGGCCTAGAATCCCATACATATATCACCGGTGCCTGGCTTGAGCAGGAGTGGTGACCCTGAAAAAAGATGGGTCCCCCAAGTCGATTACATCTATCTAAAAGAGTTCTATTGAGCCAGTAGAATAATAATAACAACACAGCCCAACCAAAAAATATATATATCTTGGTTTTGAGGCCTGTTCCTGGCGTTGTTTGGGGCGCTGATTGAGAAAATTGCATTGAATAGACCGCATCAGCTCCAGTTTCTTAGATATGGTCATTATGGTTTTCTAAGGCAGAGCAGATGGCATTGATAGATTGCTCTGTATCTCAAAAAATTAGAGTTGAGGGGAAATCTGGTGCCATTTTTGGAATCAGCCAGTCAGATGTACCAAGAAAGAGGGCTAACATTTGAAGGGCCACAGTCTGTGTTGGTCTGCATTATTATTATTATTATTATTATTATTATTATTATTATTATTATTATTATTATTATTATTCATATCTCGCTTTCCTCTCTTAAAGGAGACTCAACCCTTCTAGAAACATGGTGGGTCAACACTCAGCTAAATTCCTTTGACCTAACCAATGTGTTCTAGTAGTCATCGTGTTTAACACCTCGCACAGGCCTGTATATTATTATTATTATCATCATCATCATCATCATCATCATTATTATTATCATAATCTCGCCTTCCTCTCTTAAAGGAGACTCAAACCTTCTAGAAACATGGTGGGTCAACACTCAGCTAAATTCCATTGATCCAAGCAATCTATTCTAGTTGTTGCTGACATCATGTTTAAGACCTCGCTCGGGTCTGTATATGTGTATATAGATATAGATTAAGGTTTCCCCTTGACATTAAGTCTAGTCGTGTCCCTGACTCTATTACTTTCCTGCCTGAGTGGTACCTATTGATCTATTAACATTTGCATGTTTTCGAACTGCTAGGTTGGCAGAAGCTGGGGCTAACAGCGGGAGCTTACCCCGCTCCCGGATAAGTTCAGCAGCTCAGCGGTTTAACCTGTTGCAGGCCTGTATATGTATACACATTTATGTTTATTCGTCCAGTTAAGACTCTTCGTGACCTCATGGACCAGCCCACAACAGAGCTCCCTGTCGGCTATCACCACCCCCAGCTCCTTCAAGGTCAAGCCAGTCACTTCAAGGATAACATCCATCCATTTTACCCTTGGTCGGCCCCTCTTCCTTTCTCCTTCCATTTTCGCCAGCATCTTGGTCTTCTCTAAGCTTTCCTGTCTTACTTCATCTTTGCCTCTAATGTCCTTCCCTCCAATGAGGGAAGGACATTTTTCCTGGAGTATAGACTGGTTTGATCTTCGTGAGTCCAAGGCACTCTCAGAATTTTCTTCCAGCACCACAGTTCAAAAATGTCTATCTTTCTACTCACATATGTACATATACACATTTCTATAGAATTGAGGGAAATTCTATAGAAAATACCCACGTTTCCTAACATATGGCCTCTCCAGTCTCTCAGACGACTTTCCATGTCCCCATTCGCTCCAAATCTCTGTTGGGTTCTTGTAGGTTTTTCTGGCCATGTTCCAGAAGCATTATCTCTGTTGTTCCCTTTTGTGGCCCCTTATTTTCCTCCGGGAAAATGTCGTCTCGAAGAAGCGAGTTCCCCCTTTCTCCCTGGGATGCAGAGGAAGCTTCTCCGTCCTCCTTGCCCTGTCTCTGCCATCTTCTTGGAAGCGAACCTGGGTCCCCCCTCGCGTGGGAGTTATTCCGTGCAAAGGCCTGGGAGCGGGGGTGGGAACTTTCCCTTCTAAAAACTCGGCAGGGTGCAGTTTCTCAGGCCCAGAGGGGGAAAAAACGAGGCCTTTGATTTGGAGAAGAAAGAGTGCCTTTAGGCCAGATTCCCTCCTGATTTTGAGAGAGGGCGAGGAAAGTTGAAAGTATGTCCTTGAGCTTTCAGAAAGACCAGCTTGATTGAGATTTCCTTTGGTTATCAACATATTTACGATTTATTCACTATATTTGTATATCACCCTTCTCAGCCTGCAGGCAACTCAAGGCGGTTTGCAGAGGCAACAATTCAATGCCTAACTTCACCATAAAACATTAACATATAATACAAAACCATAACAAGATCAGTAAGATGTAAATCATAAATAGAATTTAAGACAGAAGAAGGGAGGCAAGATGTGCTCCTCTCTACACCCATCTCCTCTCCTCCGATTTCCTTATGCCACCTCTATTTAGGATGGCCCCAGCGGGCAGGACATATTTCTTGGGCTCCTGTTGTGCTTTGGAAAATGGAGAAGCCTCCAAAGGAGGAGTCACCACATCCTCCCATAAGATGCCCTTTCCCGTTTCCAGGGACTAAGGTTTCCCGAGATGATGCCCTCCCTCCGTGGGCACTGTGGGTCCCCCTTGGCTTCTCCCTAAAGATGGCCTTACGAAACCATGGGTTATTCCCAAGGGGGAGGCTTGAAGGAGGGCGGAGAGAGACCAGGGCGTTTCAAGAAGCGCTCTTCCCAGTCCCCATGGAGGCCCCTCTGCTGAAGAGGTTCAGGATCCGGAGTTGGCGTCAGGCCGGGCTTGCTTTGGGGCGCAAACAAGTCGCGCAACGCCTCGGTCTCTTTTGGCCTCGGTCTCTTTTGGCCTCGGTCTCTTTTGGCGAGCCAGTTTTTCCTCCGGCCTCTTCTGGGGGAGAGGCCTTTGCGCCAAGGTTTCAAGAGAAAACTCCGTGCCCATAGCCAGCCAAGTTTAAAAAGCCTCCTTCCCCCTTGACACCAACCCTCCTTCCTTCCTTCCTTCCCCGATTAGGCTGCGCCACTTGTAGGTTTGCGAGATAACATGGCATGGATTGGGCACTGCTGGGGGGAATCTCTCCTTTTAGATTCGCCAGGTTGTGGAAGGTTAACCTGGAGCATTTTGCCTCGAACTTGGTCCCGATTCTAAACATGCTTCCCATTCTTTAGGCCCTTCCACACAACCCTATAACACAGAATATCAAGGCAGAAAATCCCTCAAAGCAGATAATGTGTGATTGTATTCAGCTATGTGGAAGGGGCCGTAATCGTTTGCTTCAAAACAACAAGAGTTGTAGAAGGATTTGCTTCAAAACAACAAGCGTTGTGGAAGGAAAGAAAGAATGAAGGGATGAAGGGAGGAGGGAGGGGACTGTCTTGTTATCCAGTGCGTTTAAACAGGGATAGGAGTGAAGTTGGGGAGCAGAATATACAGCCTAGAACCTGGGTTTGGTCTTCTGTGCTTGGTAGGCCAGAGATAGGGAAGAAATCCATGAGCATTATAATTTTATCACCTGCCAGGATGACGTGAAACTGTGCATGCCTACCGTGGAGCCCCCGTGGCGCAGCGGGTTAAACCAGCTGAACTTTTAGATTCCGGGGAGCGGGGGTGAGCTCCCGCTGTTAACTCCAGCTTCTGCCAACCCAGCAGTTCGAAAACATGCAAATCTGAGTAGATCAATAGTTACACCGGCCACACGACCTTGGAGATGTCTAGGAAGGACAGTGTGGGCTCTTCGGCTCAGAAATGGAGATGAGCACCACCTCCCAGAGTTGGACTCGATTCGACTTAACGTCAAAAGGAAACCTTTACCTTTACTTTATGCATACCGT